TAAATGGGTTGCAAGCTGCAATAGCTCGTGCAATTTTAACAGCAACCTGAGCGCAATCTGTGAGGTTATTAGCATGGGACTTCCGTCCTACCGTCTAGCCGGCTCATCACCGCAGATTTAAGACTGTGAACGGAAAAACATTAATTGTTGGTAGTGATCATGAAGATAAAGTTAGAGGAAAAAGTCAGCTGAATGGTGAGCTATACCGAATGGCATGGAGAAATTAGCTGAGAGGTGTAATGAACTGAGTGAAATAGAGTGAAATGAAGAAGATTCCTAATATGAATGAGACGCAATTGTAAAAGGAACGAAGATGAATTATACCATCAACTTCAATCAAATCCGTATTTACCTAAAACTAATATATTCGATCAATGAATGATCAAATAAATGAATCACGATTATTTGCCGTACCACAGCAGGGTGGCCCAGTGGTTAAAGTTCAGAGTACCAAGATTGGCGCAGAAAGGCGCGGGTTCGATCCCAGCTCTGTGCGCCAGTTTCTGGTCAGAATCGGAAGGAGGCCGGGCGGTTAAGCACAGCAGAATTGAAGCAGTGAGTTGCGAGTTCGAGACCGCAAAATGCTGTGAATGTTCTGCGATGTTAAGAATCGGCGACAGGCCTACGGCCTAATAACGCTGAAACCGCTATTATTATTAATAAAAAACGAGTTATGACCAGTCGTTCGACGACCTAAGTTAGTGTAGGAGGTTGGGAATAAAGATGGTATTTAAGGCTGGCATTAACATGGTACTATAGAGCTGGCGTAGGAGGTTGGCAATGTTAGGGGAACAAAAATGGTATTTGAGGCTGGTGTTTACAGTAGGTGACNAAAATGAGTGAGACTTTGTCTAAATAGCGATGCACTTTTTGCCCTTGTGTGGGTCATCCTGACACAGTTTAGTCCGGCAACAGGGCGTATCAGTGCTACGTCCGCTCTCTGCTCGTGTTGCGGGCAAGGAAGTGTGTCACTATTGGGACAATATAACTCATGTATTTTTCTGAGTGATAGCAACACAGCTGCCTACCCTCGCTCACGAAGCCAGGAGGTTGGACATAATAATCATGCAAGTATGACAGTTCATCATGCAATTGTGCCAGTGATGCCTGCGAGGTGACAGGACAATTTCAGTCAGACGAGAATAAATCAGTTTGTTTATGGCAAGTGGCCTGGCAACTTAATGGGAGACTGGCGACTCCATGAAACTTCTGACGGGATTAATGATGTTTAGTATTTGATTCAGATTCGCTACACTTTACTGGAAGATTTACTATTGCACGTTCATAGTAGTTATTGCATACAGAAGCAAAACAATCAGAAGGTCTACTACGGTGGTTAAATGTTTTTGAATTAGAATAAAAAGTAAAAAAAATTCAGAAAAATCACATTTTCAGCAATAACTTATTGCTGAAAACTTTCAACTCAACTTATGTAGTGACGATTGCTCTAAATTATTATTTCGCAAACATATTACATCACTTTATTCATCCAACAGAGTTCGTAGAATGAAGGGCTCATAGGTAAATGAAATATATTATTCAATGAAAGATTTAGATTTTGAATATGTGAGCTTATCAACGATAATTTTAGTCACTTTCCAAAATACAAGTGACACAAAATTTTGATTTATGGTACTGTCGCTTATATACGAATACAAAATAAACAATGCAAATGCGAGAAAATAACAGCAAATGCCTTATCAATCATCACGCGATAGTGAAATTTTACAGATAATGGTCGATGATGTCGAACGCACTTCATCAAGGGCGCATTTTTAGCGCATTTTCTCATTTATGGAAAAAATACACTATTGTGCTCGTCATGTCCGTCTGTCTGTCCGTCCGTTCGTGACCTCACGTTTTCGTCGACGAGAAAATGCGCTCTCTGTCACTCACTGCAGTGAGTACTGAGTTATATTTTTTCTACTTATACACGCCTTTAGGCCGGTTCGAATAATCGAACCTGGGGCCATACTTTCAAAACTCGCTAAGTGAACGTAAGTACTTACGCTCTATTTTCTTGTCTACGATTGGTGGATTTTGCTCGAAAGGCCGTCAATGATTGGCTGATAAACTTACGATCTCTTAACTTTTTTTTGAAAGTATGGGCCCTGGCGAGTATCAACGGCCGACATCTCCAGTAGAGGAAGCGGCCATAAAAAGGCAATCGGGAGGACGATATCATCGAGGCTCGAGTAAATTGGCACGCGACCAGAAAGAGGTCACTTCCGACTTCTCCTTGAGCAAGACCGTAATCTGCTTCTCGAAGGTGGAGGGGTCTGTTCGAGATAACCCGTGGTCTCAACATCTGCGAACGGTCAACTGTAATCCCGGAAAATGTCCCGGAATAAATGTCCATGTCCCGGTATGTAGTCCCGGAAAAAGGAACAAAAACCTGACCCATGTAACACTTGAGTCGGACTCGAATTTTAAACAAATACTTATTCGGATTGTTAGTAATACAAAGCGTAAAATGGATTCAAAGCTTAAAATTAGTGTTTTTTATAGAAGCAAATTTCATGTGAATTGGAACATGCATGGAACAATTTCATGGAACATTTGTGAAGTAAATATATTGATGAGAAGCCATCATTTGATTTTTTAAAACCTCGTTATTCTGTAACAGGAATCCAAGTTTCACTAAAACACCCTTGACAAATTTTTTAATGGAATAAAATCCGTTGGAGTAGTAACTTTTATACAAGTTTCTTGTGCGGCTTTTCATACAGTCAAACTGAAACGTTACTCGATGCGCATATAAGAGCACGCTCCTCATGCGCGCTGCACACAGCAACGAAAAAAAGATCAGTGAGAGCAATTAGGCGTCGCACGAAGAGTTTACTCGAAGTCTGAGCTGGTGTTTACTGAGTACTAAAGCTGTTGTTTACAACGATCCCAAGATAGAACCTGAGTGCTACTTTGGCACGCGCGGGGGTGCAGCGTCAGCTCACGGAAATATTCAACTCCAGCCGCAACAGCAGCCGACTGGCTGCAAAAAAATATAAAAAAAAATATATATATATTTAACTCAGTACTCACACTGCAGTGAGTGACAGACAGCGCATTTTCTCGTCGACGAAAACATGAAGTCACGGACGGACAGACAGACGGACGGACATGGCGAGCACAATAGTGCATTTTTTCATAAATGAGAAAATAGGCAAAAAACGCTTCTATGAGCAGCTATCATACGGGCTCACGAGCATCAGGAACGCATCAGCAGCCTAGGAAACAAGGAATAAATAAAATACGAGTAGCATAGAATACAAATGCGACAGTCAACAAAATAGTGCAGTAGTTCAACAAGAAATGTGCCCTGGGAGTGTTCGAAGAGTCCAGTTTGTTGTGTATTGTCACTCAGTCATGCTCGGAAGTGGTGGTTGTCTCAGTCACTCTACATTGCTGGGGTAAATTTATAAATTTTGTGCTCTTTTGTCGGTAACTCAAAAAGGAAATTTGATGCAGAAATTTAATCGAATTGCGTAAAACACGATAAATGAGAAGTATTTTCTGAGTCATGATCTCATGTTTCTCTGTAGAAATCGTCTTGACAGAGAAATGTTTACGGAGTTTAGTTCATCGTACGTCATTGTGAAACATGGAAAAACCTTTCATTTTAGATGCAAGAGGAAGGAACATTTATTGAAAAGTATTCTGCAAATTTACTATGATAAAATTAGGGCATGTTTTCAATTCAGGCAATGTTCGAAATGCAATAAAGATTTGACTTGTAATGCCATTCGGGTTGAAAACTAAACGATAAAACTCGAGAAAACAAACCACAACATTCCTCCAAGTTCACCTTACAAAATAAACATGAGAAAATACAATGTTAATATTAATGATATGGCTTCATTTAGTTCCGAAACTTGAGGCCGAGAACACAATTCTGGGCAATGTCAGCCTCATAAAGACGTCTGAGCTCATCGAACGACAGCAACAAATGAAGAAACTTTACTTAACAACTGCACTGCGCTGCTTAGAGTTACGGGCGAGGCAGGAACATTGTTAGGAAGCTAAAGCAATGTATTGACTCAGTCCAAGCAGGACAAATGAAGCGGAACACAAATAGGACGATTAATGAACAACTCCTTCACTCACAGAAATGAGGGAGAGTTTGTCCAAATACCGATGCATTTTTTGGCCCTTGTGATGTTCATTCTGACCCAGTTAGGCCAGGTAACAGGGCATATCAGTGCTACATGTAACAAGTGTCACTATTAGGATAATATTACCTATTCATTTTCCTAGTGTACCAGCTACATAAGCGAGTCCACGTACATACGCGCGCCAATGATACCTGGAATAAATGCACAGGCAGGACGTAAATTTATCCAGTAAGTTTCTTGTTACGATGTGACTTTATTCGTGATATTCTTGTTACGATGTGACTTTATTCACGATATTCTTGTTACGATGTGACTTTATTCGTGAGTTTCTTGTTAAGATGTGACTTTATTCGTGACAGTCGTCTTTCATCAACAAACATATCTGGTATTTAGAATTCGTCTCACTGCTCAAAAAATATTGTCAGGATTTTCTTATGAATGTAAGCAGACCAACCCAGCACTGCTCGGGATAGATACGTAATATCTCATATTCGAGAATCTCAAATCGCGTCATCCCAAATCTAGCTAATAACTATAGTGCTTAGAAAATAGTATTAATATAAATAAAGAAATTTAAATCCCGACATGAAGGAAAAAACGCTCTCGAATTGCCCAATATAATTATTTACGGTGCCAAACTTCAACAAGCAAACAAATTTTCGTAATAAAAATACGTTACAACATAGCACAAACGTAATTTCCGTTCACTCCACGAAGATTTCAATTCGTAAACATGATACATAAAGTTCATCTTATTAGCACTCTTCACTGATAAACTCTTTTAACGAATACATTAACATAGTTAACATCACTGAACAAAGAGTGATGATGGACGGGAAAATGTGCCCGATGTTACACGCGTCCACCACAAACTGTGTTAGTCATAATCACCTTTTGCGGCCCAGCAGCAGGGAACAGAGGTAGAGCTGTTGCACTTGTTCGGAGGAGAGCTCGCCTACAGACATAATCACCTTTTGCGGCCCAGCAGCAGGGAACAGAGGTAGAGCTGTTGCACTTGTTCGGAGGAAAGCTCGCCTACAGACGTCGTCCCGGTGCTCATGATGGTGGCAAGCAACACGCACCATCACGTCCAACTCTGCGTGTCTCGATAGCGCATTCCAAACACTTACAAATCACGTTTAATTTCAATCCATGTTAGAGTTTTGGTGGAGTAAATTCCATACGTGTCTCATAATTAGATAATAATTCTGTAGAACGAACGCCAAGAGTTTATTTTCGCCCTCATAAGGTTGTGTCTGGGTGAAATAAACAACTTTAATTCAAATCGTTGGTTTTGTCGACCTCCATAAAAAATGATGCTAACAAGAATAAATTCACTATAGGCTACACGACGGAGGCAGATTAAAGAGAAGAGGGAAAGAAAACGAAAAGTTTCCTCCTTAAAGATTCAAAATGGATTAAATTAAAAGATAATCAGCGTATGGACTTGCCATGCGATGCATAGCTCAAGCGTGAGCAGATAGCGGACAAACGAATGTTCGCCGATAGCGTTGAGGGTAAACTATCCTTTAAATACAAGCATGGAATACGTGGGCGCACAGCCGTGGGTTGCCGTCACTCAAGAGAGCTGACCACAGATTGGATGAGGATTGCTGTCGCGATACTGAAACATGATCACCGTTGTCCGTAGACTTGTCAAAAAAAGTTATTTCGGCAATATGGCCATGACGTGCATTTATTCATTTAATTTCAAATTTCATCCCATTATATACCAACCACTCGCATCATACATTGTATGATCGAAATTATGTCGTATTTCTCACATCGTATCGTAACTTTATCAGGTAACACTCCGATATTTTTCCCGGGCAGCACTATAGAATAAAAAACCGAAGTCGCCGACACTGAGGTCGCTTCGACGCGCCTTGGCGCAAATGACTCGTTCAGCTTGAATACCATGACCTTTATTCTTCTTTATGCCAACTTTATAAAAGTAAATTTAAGATTAAGGTGTTAATAGAAAATTCGAAGTACTACGTGTAATCCTCACAAGAAAATTATCGGTATTATCTGGCATTGATTACAACGATAATTTTCTTGTTATCTGAACTGATTTTCTTGTTATCTGAGCGTTCAGATAACAGTAGTTATCTGAACGCTCCTCATGAGCACCATAACAAATATCCGTCCGGCAGAAAACAGGCCAAAATTATTGCGTGTTTGCTAGCGGCAGAAAATGGTCGACGAATTTGTTTTCCGTGCCACGCATGCAGCACCAAGTACTTCCATGGAGCATCGCGCCACAAAACTAAAAAAAAAAATCAGAACATTGTTTGAGACTATGTGTCGGGCATCGTTAAGCTTTACGATTATTTGTTCTTCATTAGCAGCACGAAAAAAAAATCAGAACATTGTTGGAGACAATGTGTCGGGAATCGTTAAGCTTTATACGATTATTTGTTCTTCATTAGTAGCACGAATCTACTTTCAATGCAAGTTTCAGATGTAACCAAGACGTTCATATCAAGACCTTCGAAAGAAACCATAATTTTACCAACAGATTCTTCGACTGTAAATTCTTGCATCAACAACACTCGTATTTTCATCCGAATTTCTTCCAGTTGACTTTCAGATTTCAGTCCGTATCCTTTGGGTCAGTCTGAGAATGCGCGCGCGTTGTATCAACTAAGCATGTTCGTGAACAGCCTGACTAAATTTTAATGCCGTGCTTGTTTTTAACCGGGACAAAGAAGATAACTAAGTATGGTGTGATCAATTTACGGATGGTGTTGTGATAAATTTACGAGAATAACTTGTTAGGAGCTGGCGCGTGAAATGCATCGGTTGGCAAGATACTGACATGGTCGGGCAACAGCAGACACGGCTAATCTGACGGCAAACATTGGACGCTTCAAGGTCAGTTATACACGTATTATTTCATGCTAGTCATTTCAAGCCCATTCGTGGTCGCTGCGTGTAACGGATATAATGTAATAGTGGAGTATGGAAACGCAGTTTTTAACATTAGAGACCCCAATGTATTTTCTATTGTAATGGATAACTGGGCTAGGCTAGGCGTGTTATTGTTCGATTATTGTTGGTGATGATCCCCACATGGTCTCCATTAATCACGCCCAGATGTTTAGGAGCTACTTAAAGCTACAATATTTTGTCTACAATTAGGCATGTAACGCTTACAAACCGTTCATGTTTACCAGTTTTAAATTAATATGGAGTAAGCTAATTGATAGGATTTACCGCAGCTCATTCTGTATCGGCAAATCCCAACCTCTGTAAGGGAACTTGATCAAATTCAGGCAATATAAGACTCTGTTCTCTGTTTTTTACTAATTCGCCATGTACCTATACTAGCCACGCAATGCTTGCGATAAAATTAGCCGTAGATAGAAAAAGGAACCATGGACACACTGCTAAACTTTCACCAATGGATCATCTCTAATTTTAGCTCCCTTTAACTATTGATAAACAATTTCCTGATTCGAATGATAAAATATATTGCTTGGCAATGACGTGTGCTGACGAACGAATTACGCTTCGCGTGCGTAGTGACGCCTTCGCATAACGAGGGGCGTAGCTGACACTGAATATAACGATTAAAACAACAGTCAAATAACTATGCCTACAAGAGGTGCTGTCCCGCTGTACAAAGTTGGTGCACTGCAATGCGTACTTGACTTCCGCTGACTGGAACATGTCGACTACATCATCATAGCTCGTCTCTTGTATTGAACCTAATTAGCGCTACCTTCAAGCCATGCCTTGTGAGTTTGAGTAGCGTGGACTAAATCATGACTAAAGTTTTATCGAAAAAAATATTGGGTTTAATATTTCCCAATGCATGACGGCGAGCAGCTATGTTCCCACTACGAGGGGTCGTGATCGACAAAAACAAATGAATTTTGATGGAGAAAAACCTAATTTTCTAAACGACCGGGACTTGTAGATCTGAGCAAGAAAAATTGCCTTATATTTAGTTGAATTGTTCTAAACACTAGCTTTCCAAGCAGAGATAACCGCGAATAAGCGCAACTTGGTCTATCTTGTTGAATCTACATGATGTTATTTTAATTTGTTTGGCTGTCCTTCAACTCTTATAAAATAATTACGTTACTCATCTCACAGAACAAATCTTCCATTCGGTCGACTTGATCGGTGAAGAAGTTAAGCATCACTATATTGTCCCTTTTCTTATTCTGAATGAACAGCAGAACAAGCACCGTTTTCTACTGGTTTGAGAAGAAATGTTTCGTTTATCCAGGAATGTGTAATTACGTTAATTATTAAAACTTTGAACAGAACTCCTATAAAACATGATGGACGACAAGTCCGCAGTTCAAGTTCATAGAATAGGCAACACCACGACATCTGTGATTGTTACGATTTCGAGACAATATGTGATAAATTCGCTTTATCACGGGCACCAAATCCACGAACAAATGCGCACCGATAGTCCGAGACAATTAGAACTGTTATCCAGCTGTTTTTTTGTGCAACCGTAAAGTGGACTCGAATCTTCACTTGTTCCTGGTAAACCTTATAAGAGGGATGCTTGGCCAGACGAATGCAATTCGAAGTCATCGACCATCAACACCTCTCCTCACAGCAGACAAAATGCCACTGGCGACTCCAGGCTAACTCGACCCTCGGCCACAGAGCCTCCGACCTTCTTTAGCCGCCTCGCATGTCATCGCAAACCGTCTTCTTCGTACACAATAATCTTTTTTTCCTTCCCTGCGAAACAGAATTTCAACTAAAAACATCTAATCCAATTCCTTGCACATGGAAAATTATTTATTTCCTGTACATATTACGAGAATTCATAAACTCGAGCGAATCGTGACCTTTTTACAGGCTTAGCCGGTGCCAGTAACCGCTCTCGCTGAATGAAAGTTTCATTGAATGTGTCCGTTTCTGGGCTGGCGTATCCACAAAGGCTGTGCTCGGCACATTATGTGGCGAGTACAACGTGCGAAGCCTGAATATCAAGAAAAAGCAAGAATGTTGCTCGAAACTACACGATGAGAAGTCGAGTCAAGAAATTTAACATTCTAAATAAATTTCATAATGTTTAGTCCGCGATCAGATCTTAAATCAAGCTAATACGATTATTTGTAATAGAAACTTTGTATTTCCTACGATATTTGTCAAATCACCACCTCAATAAAAGGTAATGGACAAAAAATTACCTTACCTTAATCATAAGGTAACATCTACATAATTAAGATCCTTTGGTTCTCTGTATAACTTGGATGGCATCTTGTGACAATTTTTGGCGGAAAAACGCTTTCACTTACTGAGAAGCTTATGACGACGTTATGAATTAATATGGGCGATCTTGAAAAGACTTGGCTCTTCTGACAAGAGTTTCCGCTACATAGTCTGATTAATACATCATACGACATCCTCATATTACTTCTGGACGGAGTGGGAGCTCATATTGGGCTGTCACAACTGCGTGAAACGTTGCTGGAAGACGGTCGCCTTGTCACCAGTCATAGAAACGTTGCTGGAAGACGGTCGCCTTGTCACCAGTCATAGAAACGTTGCTGGAAAGTCACCATTCATAGAAACGTTGCTGGAAGACGGTCGTCTCGTCACCATCCATAGAAACGTTGCTGGAAGACGGTCGTCTTGTCACCATTCATAGAAACGTTGCTGGAAGATGGTCGTCTCGTCACCATTCATAGAAACGTTGCTGGAAGACGGTCGTCTCGTCACCATTCATAGAAACGTTCTTCAACGTTCGTCTTGTAACCAGTCAGAAAAAATTTAGATGGGACACGATCGTTTTGCATGAATTCACACATAATTTGCTGGTAACTCTGTGCTAAACAATGCATATCCTAAATCCATCATAACTGCAGCTTATGATATTTTACTGATTATTGCCCCCCAAATTATTCATATCACTTCAGCGCCAATAACGAATGACAAGACTCTGGTGCAGCATAGAACACAAACCACAGGTAGGTGAGGTCGCACATACAAATTATAATAAATAATTACTGAAATCCTCTACGATCATCAGTGAAGTCATGGCACATCCATCAATAAAGCTTCCCCATGCTGATGAATTAAAGAGCTCAGTTTGGGGAATATAAAGCATTGGCATGTTTTTCAACACTCTGGTACATTACATCAACATTTATGAACATTTTTTCTTGCACTCTTTGATATTGCCTTGTGTAATTCATTCCTTAATTTAACTTAACATACCGTATTTTCCCATTTACCTTCATATTGCACGGCAGTCATCCACATTCGTCCTCAACAATGCATTGGATATTATTGTGTATATATTTCCAGTCCTTCTGTGCCTTGTAAGTAATTTATCATGTTTTAAACATGTTCAATTGAGGATTGAGCTCAGTGCAGCAAGGGGCCATAACACTAAAATAATCACTTTTCTGCAGCCTTGAAATGAGCTTTGAATGCAAAATAACAATCATTAGCAACACTAATTGTGTTGCTAACAATCATTAGCAACATTAGAATAACAATCATTAGCAACAATTGTTAAAATTTAACATTTTATTGATAATTATTGTGTACCTAGTCATTTATTACTCTTTTTTTTGTGTTCCTTGTCAACATCAATTTTATCCCATTTTTTTTCTGTCACAGTGAGTAAAAAATATACTTGATACTCTTGATACAAAGGGTGGATGTTGAGAAATTGTTAAAGATCAGATTTGAATTTTCAGGTAGCAAGACTTGCAGCATTAAATTAGCTTCATAAGTTCAATGCAGCACATATCCTGCAGTGGCTTGAATATGTGGTAGTGACAGGTAGGTTATTTTGTAGAAAAATGTATAAGTATTCTCTTATAATTATATTGAGTGTAATGTTGCTTTCAGATAGCAAGAGGATCAAGGCAGACTTGCACTTCATAGACGTCAGATGGCACATCAAGCATCAACAGCTGGCACTCTTCAGAAAGCATTCAAAGAACTCATGAGACCAGAATCCATCCTTCACATTCATATAGCAACTGACTTCAAACTTGTGTTCCAGGTATTCCATTTATTGTTAAAATTATATTTTACACAATAATTTTTTGACCAATGAAACTGAGTTCATAAGTGTGAAACATTTGTTCCTTTCATTTATATAAATTGATTCACCTCAAAAAGTGACTCGTCAAATATTGATAATGATTTTCTTTCTTAAATGAAAATTAAAAACATGCATATCTTGCATGTCAAACATTGCACATAAGAATGAGTATCTCAATTATGAATTATATAAATGAAACAAAAACATATATATTGACAGCAATCATCATTTTTGCCATTAATTCATTAATTTTGCAGCTTATAGAAAAATTGTTGGGCCCTGAGCTCATTTTTCAAGCAGTGGAAAATTTTTCCCAGTTGCCAACAAATTTGTCAAGCAATTAATTCCTGTTTTTAGTGTTACTCAGAAAATCGATAAAAGAACATTGTTAGATATGCTAACTAGCTTCATTTGTGTGGTTTAATTCGGTAGTAATTGATGCATTCAATAGATGATGATATGTATATGGTATATATTGTTTAATTGTTTTGTGTTACACAAGTTACTTCATAGTTTGTTTAATGCCTTAATGTGTACATGATCTTGACTGTCATCAATGACAATGCTGGATGTGGGATATTTTTTGTGGCTCTAAGAAGACTAACCAGTATTATACCACCTCATGAGTGACAAAAGATTTTAAATAAATTGAAATTATTTTCTTGCCATCAAGGTTTCAAATTTCATTGTTATCTTAAATTTCCTGAGGAGCTAAGAAATTTCACTTCAAATGAATAAATTTTTGTAGGAAATTGAAAAAACTAGGGTATAATGGGAAAGTGAAGTAAAATAAATGGGTTCTTCAAGTAGAAAAATAGTACAATTTCATCCTCAATTTTTAATGAACTCCTGAAACAATGGTTTACCGTATTTGAGATGCTGCAAATTGGATTACAAATGCTTTTCCAGGACTATAAAATATTTCATTGTCATAGTAAATTGTTATTATATTCAATCTTTTGAGATACTTTAAATGCTCTGCTCAACAGTGTCCCTTTCACGGTTCACCCCACAGTTGTGCAGTTTGTATTTGATGCTATTTCATTTACCAAAAAAATAGCCTAAATGTTATAAATAATGCATTCAATCATGTTGAAGTGAGAAATTTTTTTTTGTACCTGCATTTTCAGATTTATTACCTATTTATCTATTATAGTATTACTAATTGAAATTTCTGGAGTGTAGTGACAAAACTTGAAAAAGAATTTTAAGCATAATCAGATACATTCATGAGCTGCAATTTTCTTTATGAAATTTGGAAATGATTATGAGTCCTAGATATATTTTGGAATTGTCCATATTTTCTTTTAGTAGACTCAGAACCTATAATTTCATAGTTTTAAGTCTATGGGTTTTAGAAAAACAGAAGTTTTACACGGGGGAAAAAATGCGGGCTCACAACATTGTCATTCACTCATTGTCTTAACTCTTAAGTCACTCTTAACTAACACAAGTAACACAACATTGTTAACTTTACACCTCTGAGGCTCTGAATACCTAATAGAATTATAAAGATGATGGTTCACAAATCACAATAATAAAGATCAAAAATAATTCTGCTGAAATGCTTAGCTAAATCCAAAAAATTTCTGTTAATAAACTAAGCTCCAGACTCCAGTGTGAGGTCTGTTCAAATTAATTTTATTTTATGTTTGTAAAAGTTTAAACTTGCTCATTTATTATGACTACTGCTCAACAATTTTATTCACTTTAGGTAGCTGTACTACTTTCAGCAGGCCCTAAAGTTTTTCTCATTGCTTGAATAAGAGTAAGCAAATAGGTAACATTGTTCTTTGAATTTAATTTAAGAACTGAATAATTTTGCACTACAACTATGTTTTTTGTCAATTTTATTAATTAATACTTTAAGCAATGAAATTTCCTATACACTTGCTTTATAATTTATCAATCTTCAAGATAAACCATTATTGTACTTGTAGGCTAGCTAGGTAGTTGAAAAAAAAAAACTTTATTCATTTCCTGTACCTACATGGTAGGTAAATGTTGCTAGACTATAATAAAAACTTGGTCCAACATTATCAGCTATATAGGTAGTCCACTTGTATAACCATGCCAATGACTAATGTAAACAATTCACTTTTACTTTCAACAGGTAACAGCTCAATAGGCTCATTTTTTTCTTCGTATTAACCCGGTAGTTCCGACAGTTTCGAACTTAACTCTATTTAACAATAATTTCGGAGAACATGTCGTTTCGGACAAACGTTCATAATCTAACCTATGTAAGATTATCTACTTACCCCATATTTGAGTTTTCAATTGTCATTTACGCAGATAATAACACAAATTTTCACGATAAATGAAGTAGATCCTTCACACTTCTCCCACATTTATAAGTGAACTGACATGGATTAGATGGTGTTTTCAGTAGTCCCCAACGTCAAAGCTAAATGCATTTAGCATCTTTCAGGTTGATTCGCCTTGGCTATGTGCGATCGAGCCGTTTAAAAAACCAAGTGATCGATCTTCATATGTTGATTTTCAATTTGGTTATCGTACATGTCTATGGATTTTTCCTTCATTCAAACATTTATTGAAAATGTGTAACGCTTTGCTTTAATTCATTAATTTCGTAAAATTTCAGGATTGAACGTTGTTAAAAGTAGCATAAAGGTAAGTTGTAAGATCGGAGCGTATATGAATTTCAATGGTAATTCTTCGATGATATCTATTCATATGTTCAGCTGGCTGGTCCCCAATTCACACATCGTATCGTGAAGATTTTAGCGACGTGCGGAATTCGTGTGATTATGATAGAGTTCAAAAATCCGTATATAGTGTACACATCAAAGAAATATAGATTCTGCAACTTATGATAGATTAACTTTTAAATTAAAAATAGCTGCTGGTAGAAACCTCGTTTTCTCAATCTACGTAATTTACTCGATTGATAAAGCTTGAAATGACAAACTTCCGTAAATTCTGATTTGCTTACAAATGAGAAGTGTCATGTTCATAATGAATTGAAACGTAAGGTTTGTTGGATCGCATGATGTGCCACAAGAATCACCACGCGAATTAGACCGAAATTCTTTGAACATACAAGATCGCGGCACTAAGCAAACGATCACGGCATTCTAATAAAATAATAATAGCGGTTTCAGCGTTTATTAGGCCGTAGGCCTGTCGCCGATTCTTAACATCGCAGAACATTCACAGCATTTTGCGGTCTCGAACTCGTAACTCACTGCTGCAATTCTGCTGTGCTTAACCGCCCGGCCTCCTCGCTGATTCTGACCAGAAACTGGCACACAGAGCTGTACTTTAACCACTGGGCCACCCTGTGGTTATATATTCCTTTGGTTCCTCCAGGGACTTGCTGCTATAAAATAATAGGCAATGAGGTGCCCAACCACTGACTTCCACGTCATTACGTACTTCATGTCTAATTACAAGTTATATGACCAGAACCTCCATTCAACTTGGTACAACCATGTCCCCTCGGGTTATCCAGGTGTTATAGATAGAGTTTGGTAGAATCCTATTAACAGCTACGAGTTTTGAGCAATCATTCCTTACGAGAAATAGTGTATCGTCGTAAGCCAAGTGATTTAAGCAACCATGCACTACGGCAGGCATGCAGCGGGGCACCTGAGCACCATCACACATGTGAAATCGTGCACTTAATAAAACTGTGTGCTCAGCAGGCGTGCAGCGTCCAACGACTTGGCCACATTCGCCTATCACGCACTGTAGCCCACCGAGAACTGTGACACTCACCGAGCGCATTGGCCTACCGAGCGCTGTGGCCCACCGAGCACTGTGGCCCACCGTTCAAATTGCCACCGTACACATTGGCCCACCGTGCACAGTGGCCTACCGTGCACAGCAACCCACAGAGCACACTGGCCCACCGAGCAGTACAGTCCACCAAGAACTGTGGCCCACCAAGAACTGTATCCCACCAAGAACTGTGGCCCATCAAGCACCATGACCCACCAAGCACTGTGACCACCAAACACTGTGGCCCACCAAGCAATGTAACCCATCGAGCATCTGGGCCAACGAGCACATTGGCCCACCAGGCAGTGTGGCCCAACGAATTTCACAATGCCAAACAATTGAAAGCAATTCATTCCTACCAACTTCACAATGAAGAACAGACTTTAGGCTACAAATTTTCCTGTGCTGTGGTCCTCCAAGTTGTATGACTTTTTCACTGATATAATCAAGTCACGAAAAGTTCAAGAATCGGCAACAGGCCATGGGCCTATTTCTTCAACACCGACACTTTTATTCTATTCTATAATATAATTAGCCATGTTTTCTCAAAGTTAAGGTAAGCAAAAAATACTCTGGTGATAATTAAACCATCTGATTAATATATTTTCCAATTTTCAAGTGACCCAGGTACTACGTTTGTAATTTTTGTCACAGATTTGTAATTGAAGACATACGAGTAGTCTATATGCTTCCAAGTCTTTAAAAACGAACAGTGCGAGACCTTTTTGCCCATATTTTATAACATTTGTACTATATACAAAAAATTCTGTGAATGACACAACCGTAGCTTTTATAATCATATAACTAGTATTTTATGAAACTGAATTTCTTGTGCCAATTACGAACGAATGAGCATCGTCAAAAATTTTTAATCCTCTATCCCTAATTCATCGTGGTGAGAGAAATCCGTCATTTCTTTAATGGAGCGAATAAAAAATAATGTCTGATAATGAATAATTGTCTAATGGTATTTGATGTTGTCTGATGACCTAATACATCAAAATATGCTTCAAATGGAATTCAAATTTCACTTGGGGCCCATCAATTTTACACTGCATAAATTCAAATCTAATCCTGCATCGAGCGCCGTTGCTATTTATATTATATAAATCGAAGTTTAGTTGTATAGCTACGGTAAAAATCACTTCATGATGGTATGGAAGATACTCAGTATTTCATAGATAGTAGCATGTGAAATTAAATTACGAAAAAAG